TTATCTCCAGTCTTATGGGTGAAAGATCCGTTAGAGAGACTGGATCTGTGAGGCCCCTCTACTTTTAACTGGATAGCCAGGGGCTTTCAGAATAGCAGTGGGGATTCAATGTAAGTCTGCATATTGAAAAGTGAAGTCACCAATTCCCTTCTTTTTCCTTGTCTTGCTCCCAAAATGCCAGCATCAAGGAGATATCCCAGGCAGTAGACCTCAGGGTTTTTTGTTTTTTGGGTTTTTTTAGATTTTATTTATTTGACAGAGAGAGACACACAGCAAGAGAGGGAACACAAGCAAGAGGAGTGGGAGAGGGAGAAGCAGGCTCCCCGCTGAGCAAGGAGCCTGATGAGGGATTTGGCAGGACTCACAGGACTCAATCCCAAGACCCTGGGATCATGACCTGAGCTGAAGGCAGACTGTTAACAACTGAGCCACCCGGTGCCCCAGATCTCAGCATTTTCCTATGGAGAAACTAAATGGCCCAGGGAGTCAGGAAGGATGGTGACCCGCTGATATAGACATTGGGAAGTTCCTAAATGAAAAGGCTAGCTCACTGTTGGAGAACCTACAAGGGAGTTCACCAGTCAACAAGCCCTAAGAACAGAGCTTCCAATGGCCTTAACCTATTGGAGGTCCAGTTTTTTGGTGAATGCCCTCACCAGTCCAAAACCAAAGGAAACAGTGGCAAAAAGAAGGGGGAAAAGGCAACACTTGGATTAGAACACTTCAGAAACAACGACAATTTTAAAGAAACAAGAGGAAAAATGGTATCCATAAAACTAGAACAGGATGTAATTTTTTAAAAAAGTAATTGGGGCACACAAGAAAATGGAAATCCAAAAGCCAATAAAAAGGTGGAAAGAGGGGCGCCTGGGTGGCTCAGTGGGTTGAGGCCTCTGCCTTCAGCTCAGGTCATGATCTCCGGGTCCTGGGATCGAGCCCTGCATCGGGCTCTCTGCTCAGCGGGGAGCCTGCTTCCTCCTCTCTTTCTCTCTCTCTGCCTGCCTCTCTGACTACTTGTAATCTCTACCAAATAAATAAATAAAATCTTTAAAAAAAAAAAAAAGTGGAAAGACTCGGTTGGGCATCTGCCTTTGGGCTCGGGTTGTGGTCCCAGGGTCCTGGGATCTAGTGCTGGCATCAGGCTCCTTGCTCAGCAGGGAGCCTGCTTCTCCCTCTGCCTCTGCTTCTCTCTGTCTCTCATGAATAAATAAATAAAATCTTTTTTTTTTAAGTGGAAAGATAGTGTGAGGAAATCTTGAAAGTACAACAAAAAGACAAATGAACAGGAGGAGGGAAAAGATAAGTCCTTACATGAGCAAATGATGGAGAAGAAATTATCAGACATAATAAAACTTAAGGTAGGAAATGAATCTCTAGATTGGAAGAGATCACCGAGTAAGTCATGAAAAACAAAGACAAAAACAAAACCAGAACACCAGGAACAAAGAACCTAAGATTTTACAGAGAGAAACAGATCACGCACAGGAATAAGAGTGACATCAAACTTACCAAGAGAAGCTAGAAGACCATGATTTTCAAACTTCTGAAAACAAAATTCTCAGCAAAAATTATGTTCTCGGGCGCCTGAGTGGCTCAGTGGGTTAAGCTGCTGCCTTCGGCTCAGGTCATGATCTCAGGGTCCTGGGATCGAGTCCCGCATCGGGCTCTCTGCTCAGCAGGGAGCCTGCTTCTCTCTCTCTCTCTCTCTCTGCCTGCCTCTCCATCTACTTGTGATCTCTCTGTCAAATAAATAAATAAAAATCTTTAAAAAAAAATAAATAAATAAAAAATTGTGTTCTCAAACTATCTCTCAAGTGTTCAGACAAAATGTATTTTCAGATCTGCCAGAACTCAAGCATCTTACCTGCCATATATTTTTTCTCGGGAAGCATCTCAGGGTTATTCTCCGCCATATAAAGGAGGAAACCAAGAGAAAGGGAGACGCTACCCAGGAAACCTGGAATCCCACACCTAGGAGAGGGAAAGCGAATTCCCAAGGCAACAGGTGGGTGGCAGGTCTCAACAGCCTGTCTGAAGCGGAAGCAGGGAGAGTGTCGGGAAGACTGCCTTGAAAAAATTCATTTCAGGGCGCCTGGGTGGCTCAGTGGGTTAAAGCCTCTGCCTTCGACTAGGGTAATGATTCCGGGGTCCTGGAATCGAGCCCCGCATTGGGCTCTCTGCTCAGCGGGGAGCTCTGCCTGTCTCTCTGCCTACTTGTGATCTGTCTGTCAAATAAATAAATAAAACCTTTAAAAAATAATAAAAATTAAAAAATTCATTTGAAAAGTTTGGACCAGGGGAACGATTGTGCTGTGAGGCTGTTAAAGGATTGAACAGAAAGAAAAATATATATGTGAAAAAATGAGGTAATTATCTTCCAGAGGAAAAAAGTTTTCAAGAAACCAATGCTATCGTAGTATATATAAACTCAATTCTAAATAGTATTTCTCTGATCATGAACATAATAATGTGACATAATGTGGACATAACTGATTTAATACAACATTTTGATCTAATTTTAGCAAATGGGCAGTCAAAGGGTGTGACAAGGCAAATCCTCGACAGCTAGAACTGTAAATTTTTGCACCCAAACACCCCTCCAGTTCTGGGGGAGTATCTTGGGTCTTCAAACGCGGTGAGGCACAGCGACCCCCTTCCCCATCCTGGTGGAACACTGCACATGCGTCAGACCACGGCTCAGCCAATTAGATGCCTCCTCCACTTGGCGTTGGGAGAGCGGAGGAACTGTCCTTGAGATGCAGGTGCAGCTGGAACAATAGTCACGTCTGGTGATGAGTGCCCTGAGCTGGTGGCACCAGCGGTGGACGCCCCCGAGATGAGACCTGAGCTGGATTTCCCTCCTCAGCCGCCCTTCATAGTTAACTGCTTTGTGAGTTAGGTTCTCCAACCTTCTATCAGCTCTGCAAGTGTCCACCATACCCGCATCCCTGCTTTGCCTGGCCAGAGAGGATATCGGTTCCATTCCAAGAACACTGACTTGCACCATAAACTACTAAGAGGAGTGACACACCTGGGTGGCTCAGTCCGTTAGGTGTCTGCCTTCAGCTCAGGTCATGATCTCGGGGTCCTCTGATCAAGTCCTGCTTCGGGCACCTTGTTCAGCCGGGAATCTGCTTCTCTCTCTCTCCCTCAAATAAAATCTTAAAAAATAAATAAAAAATTAAAAAAAAAATACTAAGAGGAAAAAAAGTGCCCTTAACCTTCAAGAGAGAGAATTGCTCAGTGTCATAATAAATTCTTCAGATCAGGCAGACATGTCCTTTCAAGTTGTAGGAAAGCTTCAGTTAGAAATTAGTCTAGAAAAGGTGAGTAGGTATTTTTAAAATACATTTCTTCCTCCAGCTACAAACATGTCTCCCCCTGACTGCTGTGTGTGAACATGCCAATTTCCAGCAGACACAGAACTCCCTGAGGACAGGGGCCTGGTTTCAGGTTTTCATTCACAGCTGCCTTGTATTATACTAAGTTCTCAAAAATACATGTTGTATGAACCTCTTTATCTGTACTCTCATACATCAGATTGCTAAATTTGGGTTCATAGCTCTGAAACCTAATTTTTTAGTTTATTTCATTATTAAAGAGTTTTGAGAGAGCACAAGCAGGGATGAGGGACAGAGGGAGAGGGAGAAGCAGACTTCCCACTGAGCAGACTCAATCCCAGGACTCTGGGATCATGACCTGAGCCAAAGGCAGAAGCTTAACCAACTGAGCCACCCAGATCCCCTTCTCACACCTAATTTTTTTTAAAGATTTTATTTATTTGACAGAGACACAGAAAGAGAGGGAACACAACTAGGGGGGGGTGGGAGAAGCAGGCTTCCTGCAGAGTGGGGAGCCTGATGTGGGACTTGATCCCATGACCCAAGCTAAAGGCAGACAATTAATGACTGAGCCACCCAGGCACCCCACACCTAATTTTAGATTTAGAGTTTCTTTAGGGACTTTGGCTTCATTAAAGCCCAGCTGGGTCCTCCAGGGATCTCAGCTAAGAGTCATTTGAAATGTAGGGGAAACTAGTAGTGTTTCAGTGTAAGAATGAGTTGAGAGTTCCTTGTCCTCTCTAGTAACTCTGGCTGGGAGTTAAGAGGTACAGTGCATTTCCTTGCTTCTATTCAATGGAAGCAAAAAAAAAGGGGAGGAAGGGGGCACCCGGATTTGAACCGGGGACCTCTTGATCTGCAGTCAAATGCTCTACCCCTGAGCTATACCCCCAACACCCTAGTGCCCTTCTCTTCCTTGTCCACTTGAGGTGACTCAGTACCATCAGGTTCCACCCATGCTAGAGCTCTGGCGAGCTTTGTATTCTAAAGCTCCACCTTCTTTTATATCCATCATCTGCTTTGGCTTTTCTCTTGGCCACCAATAAAATGGGTGGGGACACTTGAAAAATGACATCCTGGAAACTAGCTGAAAAGGAAATTGACAGAGCGCCAACAGGGAAAATGTCCACAAGTACCATGTCAGAAATACTATGGCAGAATCCAGAGGCTAAAAAGCAACCCCAGATATCCCCTTCTTCACTCCCTGACTCTTGATGGACTGTAGGATGGGAAGGAGAAGGAAGATGTCAGTTATTTTGAATGGGATGACTTAGGAAAATCAGGAAATCCTTCTCAGGGCAACCAAGCACAATCTCTTTGGACCAACCCACCCGCTCCATTCTTGATGGGCAAACATAGTCAGCTTCTAGCCTGGGTGCTGCCCGGGGCAGAGCTCTGTGGAGGCCAAGGTGTCCAGTGCCGTCCTTCTTCTGGCAGGGGTAGGGGGGAAAGGAGGCCTCCTTCCAAGCGTGGCACTGGTGGGCAAGGAGTGTAAGGGAGCAGGCCTGAGGATGCCCTCTCTCCTCCCACCTCCTCTCCAAAGGCTAAAGAAGCTGAGGTAGAGAAAATAGCCAGCCCCCTCCCAACCTCAGGGAAGAAACACACTCGGAGGCACAAATAACATCACTGCTTATATAAAAATAGCATTAAGAGTTCATCTAAACATCTGTCTTCTATTCAGGTCAAGGGGTGGGAACGGAAGAGATGCTGTTAGAAGAGAGGGAATGGGGTGACCTCTCCAAAGACAGACGGGTGCTGGCGGAGGGCTGGCGTGTTCCGGCGATAGCCAAACCGACCGTTGAACCCCTTGATCGTTTTCAGTTCAGCATTGTAGTGGTCATGGCCGGTCACCTGCTGGAGGGAATGCCCTTGGGAGGTAGAGAGAGAGGCCTGAGCCCCCATTCAGCCCCCTCTTGCTTTTCCCCTGCTCCCACGGGGCTGGTATATAATGTACTCCCCATGTCCCAGCTGAACCCATCTTCAAATGTCTCAAGCCTCTTGATTAAAAGCCAAGGGTTGATAAAGTCCAGGAGACAAATAGCTTTCTGGAAACCAAACTGTATACCAGGAGTAGCACCCAGGAGGAGCGTGAATGCTATGTGCTAAGACAGGAGGGGCCAAAAACTTCTGGGCTTGGCTGAACTTGCCTCACTCCCAGGAAGACTGAAAACATTTCACCCTTGCTTCTGACCCATGTGGAAGAAATGGATGAGCTCAATTTGGCCAAATGGTACAAAGGGTCACATGACTAGACAGTGGCCAAAGGGTGATGGAATTGGGGTGGGAGGAGGGTTCACACTGTCAGAAAAACCTCTCTCCACCCTTCCTTTCCTGTTGCTCAACAGGGCCTGGAAAAGGAGAACACAGCCTGTTCAGGGAGCAGGGAGGGGAACATGGGCTTTAGAGTTGGAAAGAGCGCAATTCCAATCCCCACCAAGCCCTCCTTGGCCAGTCACTACACCTCCCTACACTGATTTGCCCAGCTGGAGTGCAGCGGGAGCGTGGGCATAAAAACCGTCTGACCTACAGCCGGTTAGCTTAGTCACTACATAGGAGCATGGTGATGCCATCGGCGCACGTCTGAGAAGCACAGCTGGGGACGCAGTCCCGAGGCCTCTCCCCTGCCCCCCAAGCCAAGGGTCTCTGTGGCCTGATTTCTCTCCCTGAACCAGGGACTGCACACCACTCTTCCACGGGGTCCATGCTGAGGCTGGAAAGCCAGGGGCACTTGCCTGCCCCAGCCCAGTTCCTCCTGTTCAGATATCTCTGTCCTTCCCCAAAGATGTGGAAATAATCCACTATCCAGCCGTCTCTTCCCGTGCCGCCATGATCCTGAGAGTGAGAGAGAAAACACGGAAGACGGTCAGCCACCGTGCTAAGAGGGGCACACTCAAAACTCCCCTTGGGTTTGTTGCAGGGGGAGAGAGACCAGGGGTCACCAGGCCAGATTAAATATGAAACACGGATTGACCCATTGTCTCTCAGAGAGGGGCAGCGTAGGCGGGCAGTTCAAGGCTTAGTGTCTGCTGCCAGACTGGTTACAATTCCAGCTCTGCCGCTAACGAGCTGTGTGACCCTGGGCCAATGGCACAGCTTTTCTGGACCTCTATTTCCTCATCAGTGAAAGGAGTGTTGCTGTAAGATTTGAGACAAATGAAGGGCCTGGCATAGTAAAGATTCTTTAATTTTTTTTTTTTTAAGATTTTATTTATTTAAGAGAATGAGCAGGGGGAGGGGGAGCACAGGGAGAAGCAGACTCTCTGCTGAGCAGGGAGCCTGATGTAGGGCTCAATCCCAGGACCCAAAGATCATGACCTGAGCTGAAGGCAGGTACTCAACCAACTGAGCCACTCAGGTGCCTAATTTACTTTAAAAATAAGCAATATCAGGGCACCTGGGTGGCTCAGTGGGTTAAAGCCTCTGCCTTCACCTCAGGTCATGATCCCAGGGTCCTGGGATCGAGCCCCATGTTGGGCTCTCTGCTCAGCGGGGAGCCTGCTTTTCCTCTGTCTCTGCCTGCTGCTCTGCCTACTTGTGATTTCTCTCTCTGTGTCAAATAAATAAATAAAATCTTAAAAAAAAAAAAAAAGCAATATCATGGAGCAGCTGGCTGACTCAGTCCTCAGAGCATGCCACTCTTGATCTTGGGGTCTTGAGCTCAAGTACCACGCTGAGGCAGAGTTTACTTAAAAACAAAAACAAAAAACCATTATCTTTATGTAAATGAAAATACCCACCACCAACAGCTGTGATGATTAAACCCTTATAAAAGGGAAAATAGTTTCAAAAGTGTGCATACCATATTATTTTCAAGCTTTTAAATACTCAAGTTTTTCTTTCTTCCTCCCACACTCTGGATCCTTCCGTCATAAAAACTATGCAAGCAGAGCGCCCACACACACTCCAGCATGGGCATGGGACATACAGACGTGTCCACGCACATGCAATGCACACCCAGGCACACACACAAACACCAAGGCCACACACACAGAAAGACAAAAACCCAAGATTTGTTCTCAGAACAACCCCCGTTAACCCAACCTGTCCCCTCCCCATACCACTGTGACAAATGTACACAAACACTGGAGGCAAAGGTGTTGGAAAAAGTTGCAGCCACCGGCAAACATGGACAGGATCTCCCATCGCGGGTAGGACTCTGCGGAGGAGAGGCAACACCCACGAGGGAAAAGGCCGGGAGAGAAGTGAGGTCTGCGGAGGTCTGGGAAGTTTCCTTCCCACCAGCTCACAGGCAGTCCCATGGATGGACCCCCTCTGTCATTGTGATATCACAAAAGAGGACGCCCCGCCTGGGGGTTCTAGGGGTTGCTTTGCTTCGTTTGCTTAAGTCACAAGGATTTTCGAGCTTTTAGAGAATCTGTGGCATGAGATCACCCCAAAGGGTGGGTCCGTGACGTCAAAAAGGACAATGAAACTGGTTTGGCAGAGGCGGGCTTCCAGCCCCATTACCTAAGGCTTGCAGAGACCCACAATGAGATCGTTCTCAAACGCAGGGCTGGAAAGTGATTCCGTGAGCTCAGGAAGCTCAGTCCCTGTCACCTGCCTGCACCAGTTCTGGGCTTTAATTAAGAAAGCCGAGGGTGCGTGGGAGCGGGGAGCCCTCCCTAGGGGTAAGATGCCAGGATTTGGGAAGTCAGGCCCCGCCATCAGGGTCAAGCTCTGCGGGGCAGCCCGCGGGATCGGGGCCCCAGCTAATAACCTGTTGGGTTTTCCGCAGAATGGGCGGAACCACGCGGCTCTGGAAGTAGCGGTGGGCGTGGTAGTCCTGCTGGGCGTTGTAGGGCGGAATCGCCGACCAGAGCTTGGGCCTCAGGCGCTCATGGGTGCGGGCCACAGAGCTCACCGCCACGCCATCCAAGATGAAGCTCTTCTCCAGCCGCAGAGGACACTCGCAGTAGTGCGACATCCCCACCACTGCAGCCCTCAAGCGCAGGGGCTCCCCTGCGCATTAGTCGCATTGTTACGTGGTGGTACGTTGTCAAAGACTCCGGTGACACAAACCGTACTGTGTCTAAACAGGGTAGGCTCTTAGGGCTGCCTGGTTAAGTTGCTCTCAAGGCCCTGGGGCGAAGGATGACTTAAGACACCAAGCCAGAGGAACTGGAGACTGGAGAAGGTATTACTGAACTCAGGTGGTGTGCACGCAGGGCCAGCCTCCTCCTCCTCCTCCCCACCCTACTACATACACTTCCCAAACTCAGCTCCGTTGAAAAGCTTGTACCCAGAATGGATCAGAAAGAGTTCAGAGACCATCTACTTCCAACTCTCATTTTTAGTAATTTTAAGTTGAAGCTCAGAAACACTGAGATATTCCCTAAATCCATTTAGTGGCAGATCCAGAACAAGAATTCAGGCCTACCACTAAGTCCGCTTAAAGTACTTCTCCCCACCTAATTATTTTCAACAGCCAGCATTCCTCCTCCTGTTAAAAAAAAATAATAAAAATAAAAAAATAAAATCTTTCAACAGAACAGGGTCACCTGGGTAGCTCAGTCATTAAGCGTCTCCCTCAGGCTCAGGTCATGATTCCAGGGTCTTGGGACAGAGCCCCCAGCGGGGCTCTGTGCTCAGGGGGTCTGCTTCTCCCTCTGCCCTTCCCACAGCTCATGATCTAATAGTCTTTGAAAAAAAAAAAACCAAAAAAAAAACCCAGCAGGTTAACACATTACCATATTACTTTCCTCTAGCCCTTTTTTTTTTTTTTTTTAAGATTTTATTTATTTAACAGACAGAGATCTCAAGTAGGCAGACAGGCAGGCAGAGGGAGAGGAGGAAGCAGGCTCCCCGCCAAGCAGAGAGCCTGATGTGGGGCTCGATCCCAGGACCCTGGGATCATGACCTGGGTCGCAGGCAGAGGCTTTAACCCACTGAGCCACCCAGGCGCCCCATCCTCTAGCAATTTTTATGTATAATTGTCAGGACACAGCAAACCATGAACAATAATTTCTAGTCACTAGTTACATGTGATTTTTTTTATTTCCAAAATTTTCCCCCTTGAATAACCTTACATAGATGCTTTACACATCAAGGTGCCTTACTCAGTGCTCCTCACACCAACTCTATGAGGTGCTATTATCATCCTAACAGGAGACAAAAGGATCAAGGAAATCTTTTATATTCACTATTATATGAAGGCACATGTTTGTTTTTTAAAGATTTGAGAGAGACTGTGAGAAAGAGCACAGGTGCAGGGACAGAGGGAGATGGAGCAGACTCTCCATAAACATGGAGCCCAATGTGGGGCTTGATCCCAGGACCCTGAAATCATGACCCCAGCAAAGCCAGGCAGTTAACTGATGGAGCCACCCAGGTGCCCCAAAGGCACATGTATTAACTAGAAAAAGGTTGTTTGTATGTATACACAAACCCCACTAATTCTGGCAAGTTAATGCTGAGCATGTTTCTATACCATTAACAGGTAAATTCCTAGGAATCTGAAATTACAGAAAATTAAGTCTATAGTTTGAGCCCATTCTATTAAAATTTGTAAAGAACCTGGACAGAGCCTGGAAGACAGAAGACACGGGGCGGGGGGGGGGGGGTGGGGCAGCCCCCATACCTCTTGGGAGAAATTTCATATATAGAGTTCACACAAGGGGGTAAGAATGATTAACTTTTTAAAAGATTTTGAGAGTGAAAAAAGCAAGCACAGCTGGGGGTGGGGGTTGGGGAAGAGCAGGGAGCCAGAGGTCAGGCTCAAGCCAGGGCGCTGGGATCATGACCTGAGCTGAAGACAGACACTTAACCCACTGAACCACCCAGGCACCCCAAAAAGGATTTTTTTTTAAAGATTTTATTTATTTGACAGACAGAGATCACAAGTAGGTAGAGAGGCAGTCAGAGAGGAGGAAGCAGGCTTCCTGCTGAGCAGAGAGCCCGATGTGGGGCTTGATCCCAGGACCCTGAGATGAGGACCTGAGCCAAAGGCAGAGGCTTAACCCACTGAGCCACCCAAGCACCCCCCAAAAAGGATTAATTTTAAATGGAGGACCCTAGGGCTTCATGTCACATTAAAAACTTCAAATTCACCAGGATGGAGAATAGGGTAGTACGACAGGTCTGTTTTAGATTCCTGGTCCTAAAACCAAGATAGGCTGTCTAGACAGCCCTGGTTCTCCATCCTGGCTGCACCTTGAAATTTCCTGGGGGGTTTTTAGAAAGTACTGATGCCTGGGTCCTACCTCCACAATGACTTAACTGGGTCTGGGATATTGCCTGGACACTCTCTGGCTGAGAACCACTGATTAGATTAGTACATTCCATTCTGAATCTTGGACAAAAGGGTAGTTAGTTATCTTACCATGTGCTAGGGTCCACACAGTCTAATCTTCAGCCTTACAAAGAACACATAAGGTAGAGTATATTCAGATAGATACTAGATGTGTGAACACGAATCTAGGCTGAAAAGCCTGTTCCAACATCTTTAGGCCAGACTATTGACCCAAACCTGCTGAGCGCTCATTTTTTTTCATTAGACTCCAAATTCCACATACATCACTTCTCATGGTTTAGAAAAGCACAATGTCCAATGCTTTCAGGCACAATTTGCCAAGGTTTACACCCACTGTGCTGGTTCATTACATTACCTTTCATTCCCGAACTAGGGTTTTGCAGGTACATACAGCTATCCTATCAAAAATGTTTTGGTGGCAAACCATGCAGATACTTTTAGTAACTCAATTGCCTTCCACAAGAGCAAATTAACATGGCAATCATGTGTTAGGTTTTACAAATACAGCCCTTTATGGGGCGCCTGGGTGGCACAGTGGGTTAAAGCCTCTGCCTTCGGCTCGGGTCATGATCCCAGGGTCCTGAGATCGAGCCCTGCATCTGGCTCTTTGCTTGGCAGGGAACCTGCTTCCTCCTCTGCCTGCTTGTGATCGCTGTCAAATAAATAAAATAATATAAAAATCTTAAAAAAACAAAACAAATACAGTCCTTTTTGTGCTGGTTTACGGGAAGGACACCTGTAACTGCAAGTGTGCACACAGACACACACACCTGGGCCTTCCCCACATCACTCAGTGAACTCTGTGTGTGTCCACCATCTGACCATTCACTATCCTGTATCTCAAACTAAGCGCAGTGCAGTTACCTGGGGTAACCTCTTGAACAGTAACTACTACCTGCAATTTACTTTAAGAACTCTGAACACAAATAACTAAGTTTTTACAGCAGAAATGGAAAGTCCGTAAGTTTCTGTAGTCACAAAACCAAGTACTACACTAAGCAATTTCATGTTACAAAAGGTTCAGGGTTGTCAAGAAGAGTGACAGGTAGAAAACAACAGGAAGGCAAATTTCAGGAGCAAATAATTTTTAATTTTTTTTTAAACAATTACACCAAAGAATCATGCAATGCTGCCAGCATTGGACGCAATCCTGGGCCACAAGTCTGCACACTCCTTTGCGACTGGTCCTGTGATAGCAGACCCTACATAAAAAGAGAGTGAGATGACAGATAAGATCAGATAGACACAGAGGTTAAATCATCCCATCTGGAAGACTTAGGCAACACTGTGGTTTCTTTCTTACCTTTCATTTCACCTTTATTGTTTACTATGACCCCCGCATTATCTTCAAAATAGAGAAACACACCATCTTTTCTCCGGTATGACTTTCGTTGTCGAATTACCACTGCTGGATGTACTAAGAGAGAAAACAGGACAGTAGTCACTAACCTGTCAGGTCCCAGTGCCACCACAAGAAAGCAATTTACATCTCACCTAGTCTCCCAACATTTCCCACTTCAACAAAATGTAGACTCACCATTTGCTTTTTATTTCCTAAAAGCAAGTGTGAGACAGTGCAAATACCACTCACCCCTTAAGGAAAGACCTTACTCCAAGGGAAAACTGCCTGCACCTACTGCAAATGTAAATCTGTACTCTTCTTACAACAATCAGCAACACTAGCACAAAACTTGCTAAGCACGTTCTATACTTGGTCCCACTTCACCCAACAGGTGGATGCGGTTAAAATCCTAGTATCACAAAATGGGACCCCCTTTTGGACAGAGTAAGTAGAGGCCCAGCTATTAATGAACTCATTAGGTATATTCCATCCCAGTATATATCAAAACCTCCAAGAAAGGGGCGCCTGGGTGGCTCAGCGGGTTAAGCCGCTGCCTTCGGCTCGGGTCATGATCGCAGGGTCCTGGGATCGAGCCCCGCATCGGGCTCTCTGCTCAGTGGGGAGCCTGCTTCTTCCTCTCTCTCTGCCTGCCTCTCTGCCTACTTGTGATCTCTCTCTGTCAAATAAATAAATAAAATCTTTAAAAAAAAAAAAAAAAAAACCTCCAAGAAAGTACATACCTTGATCTAAAATTTACTGCTTTTCAGAGTTTACTGGCATTAAATATGCAGCATGTTAGATTTCACAATAGAAGTTCATTTACACACCAATTTAACCAAAGAAAACCTACAACAAGGTGTGCGTATATGTCTACACACTCCTTGAACCCCAAAAGTACATCCAATATCATCCAAGATATTGACCACACACTCTATACCTTATCTCAAATGCCTAACTGCGGGCACATGTGTTGTTGTATTAGAGCAAAAAGCTGGAACTAACCTATGTATTTCATGGCAAATACACAAAACAGAACCACTTAAAAATGATTATGTCTATCTGTAATTTTTCATATGTAGGACAATCATCTGTGCAGCAACGAGTTACGGGAAGGCTGTGGTCCCATTCAAACAGTAGTTTACAAGCTAATTTTTTGCATGTAACTCAAAAAGAAAGGACGGGGCACCTGGTGGCTCGGTCGGTTAAGCATCTGCCTTTGACTCAGGTCATGATCTTGGGGTCCTGGGATCGAGCCCCGCATTGGGCTCCCTGCTCAGTGGGGAGTATGCTTCTCCCTCTGCCCCTTCCCTGGGCTTGTATGCTTGTTTGTTCTCAAATAAATAAAATAA